AACACAACGCGACTTGAACCCTTCCCAAGGACAAATCTTGGTATTTCCTGGGAGAGCAAAGTCTAGATCCATTTGAAGAGCAAAAAGAATGACATTTACCCAATTAATTAGCAAGACACCTGCCTGACCTTCAAATCAATAGGCCCCAATTACCATGGGGAGCAGCTTCATTTGATTTTCATTCTGCACAACCAGGCTGGCCATGTCTCGAGAAAACCATACCAGCTTCTGGTGGCTTCTTTCCATTTTTCATGAAGAGCTTCTTGCTTTATTTAAGCCCTGAAGTTCCCCCGTCCTGAGGGAAGGTACAGTCAACATCTAGGGGAGCAGAAGGCAGAAAGGCAGCCTTGGATCCAGTACCAATGCCTTGGTCCATGTGCCCAGAGCAAAATGAAAATGTGAGTCCCCGTCACAAAAACTGTCAAGAATTTCAAAATGTCAGTGACAGCTTTACATTAAATGTGGGGCCTTCCTGAGTACAGGACCCTCAGCCTTGGCTGCAAGCTCGGGAGGCCAGCACTGCTTGGAGTCTCCCCATGGTTCATATTCCTGTGTATACCGAGACCATTGCCCTAACAACCGACCCTTGGTGAGTGCTGACCTGGACAGATGACACCTGGAAGGCAGCTGTGCTAGAGGACAGAGGCCACTAACCTGACTCTGTGCTACAATGTAGAGACAGCTGGAGATCTTCACGAGTCACCAACAGCCCCCAGGAACACTGTCTGGTTTGTAAATCCCAACCTTGCCATGGTCCAGCCTTGCGCACTGAATTCTCAATTGTGTCAGATGCTCAGACTCCCTGGACGACTTCATGCTCTCTGCCCTCTATCTGCTCACTGCCCACTTTGTCCAGCACAGACCCTCTGGGCTTCTCCGAAAGATGAGCTTCACTGGACAGGTGTCTCGGGGATTCCTGAGCAGCTCCAGCTCCAGGCTGCCTGGGAACCAGGCACACTTCATGCCCTTCCTTCTAACCCTTTGGCCTTTTGGTTCCACAGTGATCTTCCTGGCTGTGTGCAGAGGACATAAAGGTACTGGATAAGACTGCAGAAGGGGGTGGGCGGGCAGTGCAGCCTCTGGTGCAGGCTGCTTCAGTTATGGGGTGGGGGGCACCAAAGTAGTCTGGTTCTCCCAAGGAGTTGCCCATTGTAATTATCTGGATTAAACATGAGCAAAGGCAATGGGGTGGTGATTTAGCTTTCACTTTCAAGTTGTAAACGGAATGCCTAGTTATTGTCCCTATAACTCTTCATATACTCTGAACTTCATGGGCCAGAAATCTGTGGTTTGTTTTTGCTTCTGGAAATGAAAAGTATGAATGAAGTAAATTTCTTTTTAATGACAGCTCTGTGTTTTCAAGAGTTGAGTAATGCTATTTGAAAGGTATTTTCACAGCCTAATTTTGGCTACACTTCTTCCTCCACTCTAAGATTCTCTTTTCAGTCTGTGAGAAGAGGGCAGTTCCACTACAAAGTTTTTCCTTGAGCCAAAGTTACATTTTTCTCCTCACAGCAACCTCTCAGATAAATTGCTGGTTCCTTATTAGTCTCCTTGAAGACTCTGCAGCATTACCTCTGGGGACTCTCATAGAAATTGATTTAATGGTCACAAGGCTGTCACACTAAATACCTGGAAACTTTGGAGAATAAGGCAGGAGACCCTTTCAAATCTTCCTTCATAGCCTATGCCACTGGAAAAATGCAAAAAAAAAAAATTTTTTTTTTTTAATTTGAAAGCCTGTCAGTCAGATGGGTTTCTTTCTTAAGGTCAGAAAATATCTTTTGGGATCATTCTTTTCACTAGAGATTCTTATCAAGCCTGAAACTTGTTCTAGGGTAATGGTCAGAAAGCACACCATTGTATGGTATCGAAAGAAAGCTAAGAAGAGCTGTCCCAGACCCTCCTCTGGGGGCCAGGCCAGTGAGTGGCCGTTTGTGACCTGTCCAGCTGGGAGTAGTGGGGCTCCCTATGCTGAATCCCTTCTTCTGAAGATCTGTTCAAAACGCGTCTAAGTTTGCTTCCCCACCACCACCTCTAGCTTCCTTTCAGGCTTAAAGAAAACAACATTGCCCAAAGAACATTTTAGAACCCATTTCAACTTTTCTTCCTCAACTCAACCAGGAGACAGGGGTCGCTCTGCGAGACAGATCTCTGCCATTGCTGGATGAGTAGAAAAGGCCGGACCTGTGGATCCCAGCAGTGCTCTGATGCAGTTCCACGACTAGGGGACTATTTGGTGGAAGAGGGGAGCAGGCATCCACACACTGGCTCTGATGCTTCTCAACTGCCGATTACAGCCGCTTGTGCAACTCAGTTACCCAAAGTATTGTGCTGTGTCTTGATGAATAAACACTTACAGCTAATTGGAAAATGTATTTCTGGAGCACCATGTTGCAGCCCTACATGGCTCCTTTATTATCGCTTGCTGGCATGCGGCCCATCGGCTGGAGACCACTTTGCTTGGAATAGGGCTTCAGTCTAATAGACCTGCTCTCTCCTCCTCCGCCCGCGTCAGCCACGCAGCTGATTATTCAACCATTTTCTCTACCCTTTGCTGCCTTCTGTTCTTTTTGTTTGTTTGTTTCTTACCATTTAAAAATTCTGGCTGTAGGAAACTCGAAAATTACCAGTTTTCTGAAAATATGTCTTCAAAGCTCGCTCTGCATCCAGTTTATAAAATTCTTTCTCTTCAGCAGTTAGGAGCAGTGGTGGTGGAGGGCGGGGGGGTGGGTGTCGCAATGCATTTTCAAGCAGTTTTCTTGTTTGTTTACATTTAAGTGAACATTTAATCAAATTAAAGCTGATGCTAAATATGCACAAGTGTGTACACACATGCGCACACAACGTATTAAGAGGTATGTCAAAATTAGTATGTGATCCTAGATCCTGTGATTAGAGAATATTTTCTCATTTTTAACCTTTACTATATACCACTTATTAGCAAAATACATGCAAAATGACATTACTGGTTTCTTTTCATAGGATCATTTTTCTAGATAAAGAGGTTATTATAGAAACTCTTTTACATTTTTGGTGGGGTGAGTGGAGAGTAGTTGGAAGAGAGGCACATGAGAAAATAATTCTCATTTACATGTCTAGAAGTGTCTGCCAGCTTGCTACAGAGACCTTTCAGAGCTGGCCTATTCCACCCTCTTTTCAGGGGCTCAGACAGAGGTAGACTGGAGTGGTTGCCTCTCATTTCCCTCTCAATGCCTCCTTCTGTCTGCTGGCAAACTCTCCCTCTCTTTAACAAAAGAGGTGAAAATGACTCTGGGGAAAGGAACTCCTTCTCATTGTGGCTACACCTGAACCCAAGATGTGACACATGACTAGGATTTATCATTTGTTGAATGACACACAACAGCAACACAAGAAATAACCACTGAAAAATACAGAAGTTCAGGGAAGATCGTTAATGTTTCAACGATTCTTCTACATCAAAGCTTACATGTGGGAAAAAAACCCAATACAGAATAGTAGCATATCAGAATACTAGCGAAGTTTGCCAGAGATACACAAGGCAAAAAACAGGCATGATTTGTGCACCAAGAGGGCTAATTTCACAAAACTTGAAAAGTCTGTGTTACTCTTAAGACTCTTGAGTTGGAACCTTTTGTTTACCTGGAAATTATGAAGTTTCGACTGGAGAAGGGAGACCTGTGAGGGTGAAAATACTGCTGAGGCTTAACTTTATCAGAAAGAAACATATAACTCTGTCGGACAGAAACTTCTTCTAAGGGGAATTAACATTTTCTTCTTGTCTGAATCATTTATATTTTATAGACTATCACAGAAATCTTTGCCAAGTTTCACTGCGGCAGTGCAGGCCCAGAAATAACAATAGGTATATTTGTTGCTGGAAAAATAAAGTGAAGTCTTTCTCCCCCCAAGGAATCTAAATCTCAATCAATGGAAGGTCTTGTCATTTCAAGTGGTTTCCTCATTATCTACACCCTATCATTTCCTGGGGTTCCTAAAGTGAACCTAAGTCCTGCCAGAAATAACAAATACGTCTGGGAAGCGGGTGAAGCACAGTCCATATCATAATCCGGTGGTGCCACCAAGTCCCACATTTATTGAGCAATAAATATGTTTAGAGTGTTTTGATGGGTACCATAGGAAACAGCAGACAGGCCAAAACATTGTCCCTTCCCCCCAAAAGTAAAGGTAACAGTATATACTATAAAACCCATTAAGGGCGGTTATTGCCTCAAAAACAAATCTTAGCCAGTACAGCAATAGGTAATCTACATGCACAGGAAGAGAAGTTATCATGGCAAATAACCATTTTGAAAATGCTGTGTGAGCAAGGGAAAGAGATAGCCTTTACATGCGGCACTGCGTGTGCTTCCACACTGGAGGAAAGGCTTCCATCCCTCCCCTGGCTGATTTCAGTGATAACCCTGAGCCGCGGGGCTCCATGCCATTATGCTTAATCTACCTGCGAGAAGCTGAGGCACAGGACCATAATGAAATTTCAAAAAGAAAGAAACTGACAGATTTTTGTGATTCTCCTATTCCCTTGACCCAAGAAGTTAGTCTAGGACCTTTCTGAAAGAGTTGCTGGCCCAGACCGGACACTTTAACCAGGAAAAGCCTCAGCCAAGTTAGGGGGCTCCTGCCTCCCCCGCCCCTATAGATTTGCCTATAACCCTATACCCCCATCCCTAAGAACCTGTTTCTGGCGCCAAGCGTGTGCCAATGAAATACCTGTGCATCCCTAATGCCCCTTGGGGTCCACCCCAGACAGACGTTACCTATGGGCCTCACTCCACGTGTTGAAGAAGGAGGAGGAGGAGGAGGAGGAGGAGGAGAAGAAGGAGGAGGGAGGAGGAGGGGGGGGGAGGAGGAGGAGGAGGAGGAGGAGAAAGGGAGAGTGTGTTCCAGAGAGAGACCATCGGCCCCGGGGTGGAGATGCTGCGCCCCGGGGCCGGGAGGTCTCTCCCCACATTCCCGAAATAAAGGTTACTTATATTTTATATTTCTTATCTTTGCAGCCACTGCCGCCCACTCCTTTCACGGCCATCCACTCCACTCCTTCCACGGACCTCTTTCCCTTCCTTCCTCTCCCCTCTTCTAGACCTAACACTTTCGTGTTCCAGACCCTGGGTGGAGGGTGTCACTCTACAGCAAGGACCAAGTCCAAAAGCAAGACCAGAAGAGACTACAGGGTCCCTGTGGGCTGAGACAAAAGAAGTGGTCTGAGGAATTCACAATGGTAAAAGCAATTGATGCTAGAATTTTTAGAGGAAGGGAAGAGGAAAAATGCATGATAAATGAATTGTGAGAGTCGCCAAGCAGGGATTCTCCCAACAACGTACTGAACAGTTCCCATAATAAATACTCAGTGTGCTCCACTAACCTTTAATGCTGGAGTGATGTTTTTGGGATAACGGCACCACACTGAGCTCATAGGTTAGGAGATGGTGGGGATTCCAAGAATCCGAGAATTTGCAGCATTTGGCAGTAAGTGGCTGCCACTTCAGGCTCTGCAGTGAGAGAGACCCCTGGGCTGGCCACCCCCGGAAGGCAGTTGGGCTGAGAGGGGAGAAGGAATGTCCACAAGTGTCCCTCCACCATCTGGAACCCTTTCTTCGTGATGGCACCATGAGCAGAGCAGAGCCAGTGGAAGGAGCATGGCACAAAACAGAGTTAAAACCACAGCAAAGCAGTTTCAGGAGGCAGACAAAAACATTTCAATCATGCACAGAGACAGAGATGTCCCTGTCGTGTCAGGCTGTGGCAGCAATCCCTCTTTTCCACTGCAATAGGTCCCACATTTTCAAGGGTTCATTTAGCAACATTAGGTTGAAAATCCGTTTAGTTCTGAGTCAAGGGGACCACACAGATACAATTACAAACATCAGTTTTCATTATTGTTTTGCAGACGTAAGTGGCATATTTAGGAACCTGATAAGCAGCGCCAGCAAATTGGATCAGAATGGCAAGGGACAGAAGATGGTGCCGTGGATTTCTGCCGTCAGCGTGGGTGTCAGACCCGCATCCCTCACTGGCCCTCCATTATCGCTGCTTTCCTTCGGCTGTTTCTCTTGACAGCGAAGAACGCTGACAGCCCAGCTGAATTCCTTAAACTCTTATTTTCTACCAGACCGAAGGATGACAAACGAGCTTTTCAGTCCTGTTGATGAGCACATCACAAAAATGACATAATAGTGTAATTTTTTGCCCCAAGACAAGGAAAAAAATGTGTTGGAAATCACTGTGTTCATGTTTTTGTTCCCTTTCCACCTTCATCTGACCACAGTTGTCACTCAGAGACTCTAAAAAGAAGCAGAAGTGGAGGCTGGTGTTGAGCAGCCACTGCAGTGTGTGTCTATGACAAGGTCACACTCGTCACAGTGGCAGGGACACACTTTCCTTATTGAGAGTGGTGACACCAGCAGCATTGTACAGGCTCTTAACTGACGCCTCTGAAATTGGATGTGACACCCCACAGGACAAGTCTTGGGGAGGAAGCCTGGAAGACAGCCATCCAGAGAAGCCTCTGCCTCCACTTGCACAATTCCTGAAAGCCACGTCCAGCAGTGAATTGAGTTCTCTTCAGTCTCTGCAAGGTTGACCTTGCTCATCTTCTGGACAGTGAGCCCAGATCGCCCTGTGCCGTATGTAGGTTAGGGTTTCAAGTTGAAGCTAAAAGGGGAACCATAGCTCTGGCTGGTAGTTCAGGTGCCACCTGAGGGAATCACAGAGTAGGCAGATCTGGATTTTACCTCCAGCGTGGATCAGGCTTCACTGGGAGCTGTTCCTTTCACCCAGTGCTAAGCGGTCACAGGTCTGCTATATGTGAGCAGTGCTGCCCATCTTCATCAAAAAGTTCACCTTTGGGAATGCTTGGCAGACATTTACATGAGAGTCTAAAGTCAGCCCATGAGAACTGCCATGCTCACAATCAAATTACTATTCACACATGGACAGATTTCCCTTGCTGCTGTGGGCTGCCATTTCTTCACGTTAGTAAAAGACGATGCAGTGAACTTGTAAATTTTTGTTTGTTTGTTTTTTAGCTGCAGTTTTACCCTCCAAAGGGTTAAGAATGTATCATCTCACACACACTCTCATCACGCATCTGTGAGTAGAACGGGCTTGAGGTTATTCACAATTGAAATATTTCTTATTCTTCCTCTCTAGGCTTTTCACAAACATTTGCATCTCAAATGTTAAATGCATTAATGATACAACCTCCCTGATACCTAGAAGAAAATCTTGAAAAACTTAAGAGCGATTTAGAATAAAAGGGAATTTTAAGTGCATTCAAAGTGTGATTTCCTTCTTATTCATGTGCTTTTCATAAAATCAGCATATTGACTGATTAGCACTGGCCAGTTCAAATTCTGCATCCCAGTCTATGTAGCTACTTTCCAGAACACCGTGCATGATTTCCCCGTGGTAAACTGAATATATTACAGGATGCTCCATATCCACATCTTCTGGAGGTGCCATGCTGCCCTGGCATTGGGTAAACCATATAACTTGGCCAATAAAATGATGGCAAAGTTGACTCAAGCAGAGACTTGAAGAGGTGTTCATGCTTATCTACTGACTCTAACTCCTGCCATGTGGCCAGGCTACCTGCTGGAGAAATGAGGGAGGATATCCCAGCTGCCCAGCATCAGCGGATCTTCAGCTGAAGTCATGTAACTGAGTCCCCCGCTGCTGTCATCTGAGACCTGAGTGCCACCTCACCACACTGCCCCTGCCCTCCTCCCTAGTCACCAGCTGCAGATACATGAGCAGGAAGTGCTGGGTGTACTCTGTAAAATTATATGTTTTCCACTCAGCATCTTTGTCACTGTTGATCTCTGACCTTTCCCTACACTTCAAGTGCTTGTCTTAGTATAAGGAGCATCAGGGAATATTTTGTGGGAGAGTCACACTGAATTGTACAAAAAGAGCTTTAAAAGCTCTCTGTTCCATACTAATTTTCAAGTGTGTTTAAAGCAGAAGGGCATTTATAATAGGAAATCACATCTGGACCCACGCTGTATGAAATTCATTACTTGCACGTGGAAGTGTCACCAATGGAACTTCACTCCTACTTTCTGCCGTTAGGTACCCCGAGGCGCTACTCAGTATTCTAGAGCACTATAGGCAGAGTTTAAAAACCACTTCCTGTTTCAAAGACCAAAAAACCCCAGTATACTAATGGATTTAAGTAACTTGGCCAAGGTCATGTGGCAAATCAGTAGCAGAGCCACGACTAAAAACCATGCTTCCTTATAGACATTACAGTTACCAGAGTTGCAAGGTAATTCCCAGGGTAAACATTTCCTGGTGCTCTACAGGCAGTAAATATCTAGCATTATCTTCCTAAGACAACACAGTTAGGGCTCATCTTGTCCACCTACAGACTCCACTGGTTGGCCACACCACACCGGTCATGCTGGACACTACTTGAAAAAGAGTAATAAACAAACAAAAACCATCTAATGACTCCACTCTGGGGACGATCTCAAGGGGAATGAAGCATGTACAGCTGCACTAATGCCAGTGTTACTGTTCGAGTTTCCCTTATAATTTTTAAATTTTTAATTAGCTTTTCCAGTCCTATGGCCACAGGGCTCTGGTCAGTTCCCCAACATAATCCTTCCCTTTCATTTTCCTTTCTCTGACCTCCATACTTGCCCCTTGAATCCTTAAACAAATTCTCTTACTGTTTTGTCCATTTTCTCCAAAGCCATCCTTCTCATGGTACCGGCTTCTTGTTCCCTTATTTCTAGTGTGACAATAGTAATATCCCTGTAGGCCTCCTCTCAGGACAAATATTTAGCATATCTAACATTCATGTTTAAAATTTTAATGCTTTTTCTAAAGAAAAAGATGTTACAAAAGATGTTATGTCAGTTTCCTTTGATCATTCTTTTCTCGTCTGTAGAGATTTATTAAGAATGCAAATCAGTTATTAACTTATAAAAGCCTTTTTAAAATATAGTCTTTATATCAGATATCACCACCCAGAGTATTTTCCACTTTTAAAATTGCAAGGTCAGTCTAGCCACATGGCCTGTAAAAATTGCTTTCTCTCCTTTTATTGGGGGGAAAAAAAAAACCTAATGAGTCAAAGCAGTGGATTCTGTTACTTTGATAATTTTCATGCCTGCTGAAATTTTCTAGAATTATCTCCAAGATGTTCTCTTTTTCACAGAGAAAATAGTTGGCAACTGAGTGAAAATTCTTTGGAGGCAAAATTTAGAAAAGACCCTCAGAGAAAGAAGTCGGAGGTATTTTTCTCAGCCCTCCCACCCTACTCTTCAAACTGCTTCAATGTATCAAGATAGACCTTTTGGAGAAATCACCTCAGGGGCTGGGGATTTAGCTCAGCGGCATAAGCACCTGCCTTGCAAGCAGGCAGTTGTGAGTTCGATCCCTGGTACCGATAAAAAGGAAAAAGACAAAAAAACAAAAAAAAAGAAGTCACCTCAACACCTATCTCCTTGAGGTTCTGATGAGGCTTACACTAAAGAGTAGTTTGAGATTGAGTGTAAATTAAGATTGTGCAGACAGTGATCTACATATAGATTTACCTGAGAATGTATATACTAGGTGTATGGGAAATATGTCTCTAGGATAAAGAAAGATATCATTTGTTCTCTTGGTAGGTGTTTCTTTTCACTTATATTTTTACCTTATTTGTATTCATCAGGAAATAGTCACTTATGACCATATGACTCATTTTCCATGATTCCAACACAGATTATTTATAACACTCTATAAATGCCTGTTATGAACAATTGTATAAATACATCCAATTAAAATGATTGGGATTTTTTTTGAGGAGTGCAAAACCAATTTTGTATCATCTTCTGACACCCCAATTTGAAGCCACCTTCGCAGCCTCTTAGTGTGAGTGTGCGTTTGGGAGTGGGTGTGAAGTGTGGGAAGGCTGTTAGGCCTGAAAGCAGATTTTGTATAAAAATCTACCTCTCCATCTGCATATAAAAGCAAAGAAGCTGCCAGCACATCCAAAGACAGGTATTGCTGTTTTGCATCTTTGTTATTTATTGTCACCATGCATCACCATTTTGCTATTCCTGCTTTTAAGGCTGAAGTGACATGAATGAGGCAGGCACACCCCCACGGTCCCCTGAACACGGAGGCTGAACTGTATTTCAGCATCTGCCATCACCTCCACATGCCACTTTCCAGGACTGCTAGCTGCTACATTTTCTCAGCAATGTACTAGCTATGGGTTTATGTTTTAAAAATTAAGGTAATTGAGCACCAAATATTACAAATTGTTGCCCAAAATCTGATTAAGAAATATGAAAAAGAATGCAAATATATTGCTGATGTTAAAGTATTAGAAGGTTGGCTTTAATGACATCAGAGATACGAACGGGGAGGAAAACTTTACTGGAATCAAAGTAGAGTGAGCTCTTACCTTTTCTTTTTTGCTAATGGAAGGCACATTCAGCAAACTGCATAGGCTCTTTTCATTTTTCTCTACAATAATGGGGCATTCACTTTTCTTGAGACCACACAGTGGAAGAAGAAGTGAATGTAATTACAAAGACTCTCACAGGCAGGTCTACTCCCAGGTGCTCTGAGAAGCAAGCTGCCTGCAAGGTGACCTTGACCCCTCCTCCTCCTCCTCCTCCACCTGCTCCTTCTCCACCTCTTCCACCACCTCCTTCTATTTCTCCTCCTCTTTCTCCTCCTCCTTCTCTTCCTCCTCCTCCTCCATCTCAGGAAAACCACAGGAGCCACTGGGGTATGAAACCCTGACCCTGTCTCTACTCCCTCCCAAGTCCGGCTGATCACTCAGGGGTAGACAGTAATTTCAGGTGTGCAGGTATATCTGCATATACCTAATGATGCTTGGCTCTTCTATATTAAAGGAGAAAGAACACATGGATGGAAACTTTTCCTAAGTGAATATTTTTGAATAAATGCATTCTCTGGAAAATGTAATCAGGTAATGAATCAGAGATTGTAAATTCTTCATGGATTTAGAGAGTGAAGGAGATGTGGGGCATCAGATAGTTGGGGAGGGAGGCAAAAGAGGAGGAGACTGTCACTGAGGCAAGGGTAGGACAGGATCCCCCAGTGGGGAGAGAGGAACAAGAAAGATGACTTTGAAGTTTGGGGCACAATTAGATTTTCTTGGATTTGGGGGGAATTTTCTTTTTGGTGATTTTGTTTTTGCTTTGAACAGGACAAGGACAAACAGAACTGCTTTCAGAAAGCATTTTTGCCCAGTTAGATCATTGAGCCACTATGTTTTGTATAATTTACAAGGAGTTAATCTCACTTTTAATACAGGCACTTTATTATAAGAGAGCTTTGCTCCCGGGGGATCTGTTAATTGAGATGTCACTGCATTCCCGATGGTTGTGAATCTTCCTCTTTGGAGAATAGATGTGACCTTTTGGAACTAGCCAAAAGTCATTTTGAACCAAGCAGGCTTGGGAAAGCAGGAGATGCACCTGGATAATAGCGTCTAAGGACAAAGCCAAGACCCATAAAACAGGAAGAGTGATTCTTATGTATGGCCCATAAATGGGTATTGGAAGCAGCCCGAGACACCTCCAACATGTTTGGAGTAGCATCTTTAGAATAAATACATCATCTCCCAAGGTGACTCTTCAGAAAAGGAGAGGTCATCTGCATATTGGCATTTGTATATTAAGATAAAACTCCAGCCCATGAACTTTAACCTGTATGCAATAATCGCTATATATGTTTAGATAACATTGGAATCTTTTAACCTTACCTAAAAAGACTTCATTTGCAGAGGCCAAAAGCCTGCAAACATAGCTTCTGTGCATGTATAATTTACCTGTGTAAGTTAATTTTGGCCAGGTATTTTCTCATGGCTAAAGGAGACCAACCTGGCTCTGGTGCACATAACCAAGCAGAATGCTCTGTCTCACTCAGCAGAAATTCTACACTGCTTCTCTTTCTTTTTAGATGCTTCTGGAACCAATGGGTTTTATTTGTTTCCCTAAAGTTAAATACAACTGCTGATAAATAATATTCCCCAAATTGACATTATTACAAGATTATAAAAATAAACATACAGGGGCTGGGGTTTTAGCTCAGCGGCATAAGCGCCTGCCTTGCAAGCAGGCAGCCATGAGTTTGATCCCGGGTACCGATAAAAAGGAAAAAGACAATAAATAAATAAATAAATAAATAAATAAACCAAAGATCCTCACTTTAACTTGAATTTCTGATAAACAAAGAATCACTTCTCAATGTGAGTACAGGAACTGACCAGTGAAATGTGGGACACACTGATATTGGAAAATCA